TGCATCTGACACTTCTCGCCTCTGCCCTGGGATCGTCCTCCCTGTGGGAATCAGGGCGCTCACTTCAAGGGCGGTCATTCCGGAGAGCCACTCAGGCCCTACGCGAGGCTCCGGTCCTTGGCTTGCTGCTACTTCTCAGGGTTTTGTTGAATGGTGTCTTCCTGCCTTTCAAGGGACATAGCCGGGAGAAGAGTGAGCAGTTCACCAGCCCTCCCCCCCGCCCCCCCCCCCCCAGGTCTTTGACTCGTTTCCTTCCCGTTACACCAGGGAATCGCTAGCATATCGAGGGCAATGAGCCCGGGTCAGCTGGGCCGGACCCCATGGGCAGGTCCGTGTCTTTGCAGCCCCGGGGCTGGCAGCTGAGACTTCGCTAAGACTTGACTTTACAATTGCTTCAGAACGTACACAGTTCATTCAGGGTACAAGCTGGTGCGCGTAGACAAACGCCTCAGCCTACCTCCCCCCCTCCCCGTTAATCACAGAGGTGAAGCCTAAGTTCGGTACCCTCAGCAGTGTTCACACAGTCAACGAATTCGTCAAGTCGTCCGAATATAGAAGCGTGGTAGACACCTTTCTTTTCTTTTTTAAAGTTTATTTATTTATTTGGTGAGCGAGCGAGCAAGGGAGGGACAGAGAGAGAATCCCAAGCAGGCTCCACACCCAGAGCCCGACACGGGGCTCGAACTCACAACCCTGGGAGCGCGACCGGAGCAGAAATGGAAGAGTCATTTGCTCCACCCACTGAGCCAGCCAGGCACCCCAGGAAGCTGCCTTTCATATCGCTTTAGGCTGAAAGAAGGAAAGCCCAGGTCAGCACTCAAGGGTCCACCTATGTCCATAAAAGGAATTTCTTAGTCAACTGCAGAAATATAATATGGTTCCTGCTGTTTTCAAGGCTTTCTGCATTGCTGGGCCTGTGAGAAACTGTACCGTAGCAGGCCCGGGCAGGAGCGGGCCCAGCACAGCGCCTACTATAAAAACAGCACATTTGGAATGGCTCCCAGCTGCCGGATCCAGCCCAGCGATGGCAGGATCTCCGGTAACCTCACCCACATTGACTGTCTTAGTCTAACCTGAAGGTTCCGTCTTTACGCCATCAGAGCACCGCTAAGCTCTTCTTTCTTTCCTATCGTAAACTGGCAAAATCATCTCCCATCGGTTTGACTCCGTAGCCGACCACGCAGGGCGAGCTGGGCTCTGGGTTTGGCGACGGCTTGTCACGCGGCGGAGGGACAGGGCACACGCAGAACTGGTCACACAGGTGATGTGGTCGTACGGCCTGCAAGCCAGCAGGTCAGATAGTTCGTGAGAAGGGAGGCCGGGCAACGTCCTCTAGCAAGGGAGGCTCACGATACGTTGGAGACACGTTTCAGTTCTTTGGCAACATGCTTGCCCGGAGCTCTGACTTTCGCTTCTTGGAACTGGGGAATCTGAATTCGACTAATGCAGCAACCAGCAAGATCAGCTTCGAGTCTGGCTTCATCCACCTCAGCCCAGTCGCTGGAAGACACATATTTCCCTTTCAGGGCCATCATAGAAAGGCTCTTGTTCTCAGCTGGCCCGTGGCCAACAATTTAGGACTCCAGCAGCCACTACCCACTCCCATAGATGAATTCCTTGTGGCTTTCATACTGTTCTGTGTGGGTCACCGCCGCTTTCTCCATGTGTTGCCTTTCATGAGCACTCAAGACGCGTTTCTGGTTCATAGCTCGCCACTGTGTGCCCAGAGTTCTGTCCTTTATACTAGTTGGATGTTTCCTGCTGTCCCCAGAGTCCAAACGAGGACTCCCAGAGTCGAGTGATTTCCTGAAAGCCTGCTGCCTGTAGCTGCTCCTGTCCTTGGTTTCTTGTTATCGGCAGCAAAAACAAATTGAAGCTACTTTCTGCAGAAAACAGATTAAAACATAGATACTTTTTAAATAAAAAAATATATATATAATATAAAATATACATCGAGTAGGTCACAGACTGCAGGAGCCAGACCACCAGAGTTAGAGGCTGCCGCTGAGCTGGGAATTATGCCCAAATGTACCCTAGAGGGGGTGTGCTGGGCACACACTGCCACCTCCATGGCTCACCCAGCTTGGACCAGGACACAAAGTGTCTGTCACTGCTGCCCCTGTGAAGTGGCCACAGCAGCCACCTCCGTGGCCACTTTTACCAGAACGGAGTCAGAGTGGTCTCTTTTTTTGTGTGTCACTGGTTTCCAACTCAGAGTCCTGGAGAGGACTTCTACTGGTGACACTTTGGCCACACGCCTCCTCTCCGGACACACAGTAGACCCGGAAAGCAGATATCCAGCACTCCAGCTTCTGTGGTGCACGCGGGGCTTCTGCGAATACAGCACCTGCTGCTCAGAGGCTGGAAAGCCAAAAGGAATAGTGTATGTCCAGCTCGGCTTATGAGATCGATTGACATTTACAAAAAGAAGAAATTTCTCTTTCAAGCTCCTCAATGTTAAAAAAGGGGCATTTAAAGTCTCCACTTTAGGGGCGCCTGGGTGGCTCAATAGGTTGAGCATCCTACCTTGGCTCGGGTCATGATCTCGCAGGTTGTGGGTTCGAGCCCCATGTCGGGCTCTGTGCTGACAGCTCAGGGCCTGCAGCCTGCTTTGGATTCTGCGTCTCCCTCTCTCTCTGCCCCTCCCCCACTCACACGCCCTCTCTCTTAAACATAAATACACATTAAAAACATTTTAAAAAGTCTCCATTTTATTTACTGGTCTACAGTGCATTTTTGCTTATCTTTCTGTATTTTCCCCAAATATGACAGTAGGGGTTAGGAAGATTGTAAATATCAAATTATTAAATTTTATTCTGTCTTTGTACTTTACTGATCTACAGAACGTATCCCGTTTTCAAGTATTAGATTTTACACAGATTAATTCAAAATGTTTTTTATTTCTTATATGTTAAAATGTTTGAAAAACAGCAGTTATAAAATAAAGTGATAGAAACAGACTCTTTAAAGAAAGGTTTACTCTTGATATTTGTTGGTACAATATCCTAAGCCTTCCTGAGTTCATTTTGCTTTGTTTTATTTTAGGTAGAGCTGACCGTGGTCCCATCTCTGCGCAGGAAATTGGACTTAGCGAGTGGCAGTCACAGCCACATGGCGAGTCCTTAAGTAACAGTCTGTTTCTAACACTGAACCTCTAGACATCACACCAAGCCTGACGATGTGAGAGAAGGAGCCAGATCGAAGCCCATTTGGGCAAAGAAAGAAAATACTCAAACTGCTGCTTTGATGTCACATTAGGCCATTAATATGCATCACGTGTGTTTAAGTTCAAACTTTTGCCCGGTGCTGGTATGACTTCATTGCATGCCTACAAGACCCAGCATTAAGTTACTGTGCATTCGGACAGGAAACGTGGCTTGGGCCATTGTTACTGATGAGGCTCAGAGTCCGGTCCCCGGTCCTGCGTTCTCTGCGCTTTCCACCGGCCTGACTGCCTGTTCCTTGTAAACGATGTATTCGGTGGACGCGGGAACCATACGTCTGCCCAGAGATGGTTCTACTTGTGCCTATCTGCTCTCTTCCTGGATGCTGCCTTTTGATTCCCTAGGGTCTTGATTCCCTAGAATAGAGCATACAGAGTTTGGTGACCAGTCCTTCCGGCCCCACCTGGTCTCATGTTGGGGGCTGTGGGAGTGGTTGTTAGCTTTTAACAGTAGAGTTGATCCTTGAGCCACACAGTTCACACACTGTGTTAATCCAGTTACATGCAGATTTTTTGATACAGACAGTACCATAAATGTATTTCCCTTGTGATTCTTTTTATTTATTTATTTATTTATTTTTTTAACGTTTATTTATTTTTGAGACAGAGAGAGACAGAGCATGAACGGGGGAGGGTCAAAGAGAGGGAGACACAGAATCCGAAATAGGCTCCAGGCTCTGAGCGGTCAGCACAGAGCCCGATGCGGGGCTCGAACTCACAGACTGTGAGATCATGACCTGAGCCGAAGTCGGCCACTTAACCGACTGAGCCACCCAGGCGCCCCTCCCTTGTGATTCTTAATAACATTTTCTTTTCTCTAGTCGAGTTTGGATTAAGAATATGGTGTATGATACATGTAACATATAAAATATGGGTTAATTGATCGTATATGTTATTGTTAAGGCTTCTGGTTAGCAGTAGGCTATTCGTGGTTAAGTTCCGGGGGGAGTCCAGAGTTAGACGTGGGTTTTCGACTGGGTGGGGGCTGATGCCTCCCCAACCCCCACATTATTTAAGGGTCAACTATATCCACCCTTCAGACCATCATCTCTATTCATATTCCAAGTATTTTTAGAACGTGGTCCTAGTTTTAGATTTTAGAAAGTTTCCCCTTGAGATTTTCTCAAGCTTTGTGCAAAAACTGGAGGAGGAGGGCTTAACGATGATATGAAGGGACGTCGTGAGCCGTGTTCACCCCTAGCCAAGGGGGGAAACACAGCAGTTGCCTAGCAGACTGCAGCAGAGATCAGTTCAGGCTCTCAGCTCTTGTCTCCACAGGAAAGAGGGCAAGGCAGCTGGGTGACCGCAGAAAGGAGATGGAGGGGTGACCAGCAGTGCGGAGAGCGCAGGTCTGTGTAAACAGGGTCAGGGCAGGGGTGCTAACTGGGACAGACTAGTGTGGCTGTGTGAGAACTGACAGTGTCAGGAAAGGCACACCCAATACGAGACAGCCAGCATGATCTGAAACCGTGAGCGTCACCCACAATACTTAGGTGTTTATAGACACATTTTTAAGAAAGAAAAGAAAGAGAATTCTTAACAGTTTGGCACAGTTTTAGTCCTCAAGGGCGCCTAAGAAAAGAGGCACCCTTTAAAAGTTACTGTGAGCTTTAGATGAGCCTCTTGTTAACATACACAGGAGACAGAAGGACACATGGGGACAGAGGGACACACAGGGGACAGGACACACAGAGGAGACAGAAGGACATGTGGGGGCAGGACACACATGGGGACAGAGGGACACACCTTGGTAGGGTGGGACAGGACAGGGTGGGGGGTGGGGTGGAGAGAACTAGAAGGACGAAGACCAACAAAGCCGAGGTCACAGTTACCCAGCTCCCCTGAAGGTCATTTATTGAGCTCTGACTGAGATCGACAGGTTAGGGTAGAGAATCTGCAACTTCCCCGAAACAATTTCAAGGAAAACGAAAGTAGGGAAAGTGAACGCGTGTCCTCAGGGATTTGGAGCCATGACCCCATGCGTTTCCTCTGGTGAAATAAGGTCAGTCCGTCATGCTCCTTTTTGCTTCAGAAAAGGCATTTTCGTCTGTTTGTGTTGAAAGAACACTAACTGTGAATTTAAGAAACTAGGAGGGGAGTGGGGACCAGAAAGGTTTCTAGCCTGCTCGCCCTGCACTCAGAATCCCAGGTATTTGAGGTATTACCCCAACGAAACAAGGCTGCTTTTCTCATGACCTTTAAACATGTCAGAAAATGTTTTGAGAAATGACACCATTGTTAAATGAACATATAGCCTCCTCCCAAGAAGGCAGCACTTATTTGAATATTTAAGTTAAAATTTAAACATCTGTAACCGAATGAGTGTCGTAGATGAGGTTAAGCACGAATTCCTTCCTTTGAAAAGTGAAAAATCATACCTGGGCCTCTGCGGTCATTGAAACTAATAGCACCCAGTTCCCGTACTGCCCAGGGCTCCTTCTGCATAGGAACAGGTGGAGGGGGATGGGGTCGATCGAGATAAAAATCTCTTCCATGAATGTAAGTGATATGACTGTTTCCGAATTCCCACAGTAATTTAGGCGTACTGTCAGCGTGGGTTAGAAATGGGGAGGAGAGGATGGTGGATGTAAAATGCTTTAATTTCCAGCTGTTTGCCTCAGAATCTAGCTGAGTAGCTTGGATGCATAGAAGGTCACACGAAGGAGACGTTCACCTGCTTGCTTGCAATGCCTCTTCCTTTAGGTTGATCTTCCTCTCTGGTGTCCCCCACAGGGCCTTGCATGGGCCACGGGACAATTCACGTGCTTGGAAGATTTCCCTGGTGACCGTTGGAGAGACGCGGGCGTCCTACAGCCTTGCCTCTGAGTGCCAGGACCGTGTTGACGCAGGCACAGCAGAGCAGGCCCTGACCTAAGGAGCTCGCGGTCTCTGGGGAAGCAGCGTCACAGGTGAGTTGAGCCCCCGAACTCCGTGTCCCAGGGGGACATGTGCAGAGGTGTGTGTCTCGGGCTCAGAGCAGGACATCGGAGTGCACCGCTGGCAGGTGCCCAGGAGTGCAGATGTGCGAACCAGGCCACGCCCGGGGACTGGGTGACTGTGCCCACAGCCCTGCGCCGGCCCCCCCACCTCCAACCCCCCGGTCACAGCGCCCAGCTCCCCTCTCCCCTCCCCCTCCGGGACAGAGCGCTCACCTGCCCTCCCCCCGCTCCAGGGTACAGCACCCACCTGCCCTCCCCCTCCAACGCCAGGGCACAGCGCCCAGCTGCTCGCAGCCCTGCACCGGGCATCCCCAACTACCCCCGCACCGGGCAGAGTGTCCGGCTGCACTGCCCCCACCCAGGGCGCCTGGTCGAGGGTTGGTCCCTGTCGGGGAAATGTGGCCGGCAGAGCGTGACCGCCCTCGAACAAGGTGGAGATGCTGCTGTCCCGGACGGTGCCAGCCGCGCCCGCGTCTGTTCCCGGGGCAGGTCGCGGGAGACCCCTCTTTGCTGACCACCTTTCCCACTGTCACCGGGCCGCACACCTAGGGCGCGCGACCACTTTCCCACGGAAGCAGCCCAGGGTGTGGAGGAAGCACTACTGCCCTGGGTGGCCCCGCGGGTGGGCGGAGCACCTGGGTGAGTGGGGTGAGCACTAGGCAGGAGTGGGCGGGGCATCCAGGTGGTGGGTGGGACCTGGACAAGGTGGGCGGGCACTCAGGGGAGGATGGGACCTCAGGCTGGGTGGGCGGGGCACCTGGGGGGTGGGGGGGGGCCCCCCTAGGCAGGAGTGGGCGGGGCACACAGGTGGTGGGCGGGGCATCTGGGTGATGACAGGGCCCTGGGCAGGAATGGGTGGGACATCCACGTGGTGGGCGGGGTCTGGGCAGAGTGGGCGGGGCCTGCGCTCTGACACCTGCTCCCAGGGCTTGCACAAAGTGGCTGGTCCGCTGCGCAAGAGGGCGTTGTAGCTGCTGACCGCTCCACCCTATTCCGTGTGTTCTTTGCCAAAGTGAACTCTGGAGACTCGATTTCATTATCCACGAAATGGGGTGAATGAGCCACTTTAGGGCTGTTTGAGGGTTAAAAGAAAGATGTATCTAAATTACTGGCGTGCCTAGCACTGGTAGGTTCTCATTGGCATTAATTTCTTTCCAAACCCCATCTGATTCAACCCCCAGCCGCTGAGCATCCACTAGCTTCCAGGCACTGGAGACACAGTGTAAAATAACACTCAAGAAGCCTGTGCGGGGGAGAGGAGGGACCAGTAGGTGGCCGCGGGGAGAGCTGTGGTGGCAGAATTGCTCGCGGGCCACTTGAGAGAGGCCTCTAGGCCAGGTTCAAGGTGTCAGGAGGGCTTCCCGCAAGAAGAAACAACAGAAGGCCATGGACGAGTGGAGAGGGCTGTGGAGGGAGGAGGCAGGCTTGCAGTGGGTCGGAGGCGGGCTGAGCAGGAGGACCAGGGCACTGGTAGGAGCTCACACCCGCTGGAAAGGTGCGGCTGGAGGCTGTACTGAGGAAGCCCTCAAAGAATAACCACTGAATAGTCTAAAGCAGAGTCCGATTTGGACTCTAGGAAGGTTCTTAGAGTCCCTGGATCAGGTCCATGCAAGTGCAGTTTAACACCAGGTTCGCCGTTAGCGGCTTCCCTGGCCAAATGAAGAATTTTTCTAGAGGGTTGAAAAGACTATTTGGAGTTTTTCAGGTCAGGCCCTGTAATCCTGAGTTCACAAGTGACAGCAAGGATTTGTTAGCTTTTTCTCTACAAGCCAGACGGAGCTGGTTTATAGTATCTCCTCTACAAACTGACCATGGTTCCACCGTGAATGGTATCACTCAGGCGGGAAAAGAAGTAAAAGTTCTATACCTGCTCAACTGCCTCGGTGCAAATTTGGTTTCTCACTCTCCTCCACGCTCCTTACTGCCGAGTTCCAGAGGCCAGGAGGCAATGAAAGGTGCTACCCGCCTTGCATAAGACCCGTCCCTCCCTAAAGATGTTCTGGAGAGCAAGCCGGACAGGGTGGGGGTGGGCCGGGCTGAGGCTTCGGGCTGGGATTTGAGGCCTGGCTTGGTGGGTTAGAAGCCCTAAGTAAGCCGGCTTGTTCCTCTCCCTTTGTTTCCTGTTAGATGATACGTGGATAGTCGGTTGGTTGGTTTTGTTTTGATTTCGGTGATTCGCCCCTGAAGATTGCTTTTGAAACAGCAGTTTTCAGGATTAGCTAATAACCATGCTGTCGCCCTTGTTTAGACCCAGTGAACAGTGATTTGATCCCACGCTGCTCAGCACAGGCTTTGGGCCCTGTGGGCCTAGCCCTGGCCTTGCATGGGGAGGTGACTGAGCAGGTTTGGGGATGAACTATTTGGTTTCTCCAGGTTGGGGGAGGGTGTTGTAAGAGATTGAGTCTTGTCAACATCAAATCCCTTTTCTTTCCACCTGGTTGATTACATAGGACACAGTGCAGATCTGGAATTTACCCTGAGCTATTCCTCATTTGTTGCATGATCTGGGGTTACTCGTTCAGTTTCCTAAGGCTGAATTATAAAATGAGAGTTTGAGGGGCGCTTGGGTGGCTCAGTCAGTTGAGCGTCCAACTTCAGCTCAGGTCATGATCTTGTGGTTCACGAGTTCAAGCCCTAGGTCAGGCTCTGTGCTGACAGCTCAGATCCCGGAACCTGCTTTGGATTCTGTGTCTCTCTCTCTGCTCCTCCCCCGCTCATGCTCTTTCTCTCTCTCTCTCTCTCTCTCTCTCTCTCTCTCTCTCTCTCTCCCCCTCAAAAATAAACATTAAAAAATTAAAATGCGAGTTTGACGAAATGCTGGAAGTTTTCCTTCCTGATCTAGGCAGTGCGGGTCATCGGAACGGTCATTGTCACATCCCTGCACTTGAGGGCAGAGCATGAAACTAAACCAATGACCCCTCCTCCTCAAACACCTGTTTACATCTACATACTTGCCTGTCAGGCTTTCTTGTCATTGGAAATTGATTTCTAAGTGAAATTTTAAATCTTGTCAAATTGACAGGATTACATCAAGTTGACCATGGTAATGTTGGACATGGCAAAGTGTTTGTCTAACGAGAACTGAGCTGGATGAAAATACCTGAAAACAAGGCAAAATCAGCCAGGGTGGTGATGAGGTAAGTGCTTTAATTAGCAACAGATTTCATGCAGACCTTGGGGAAAATTTCAAGAAGCCTTTTTATGTTTTTATACAAACGATCCTCTCTGTGATGATGTTGGGAAGGGCAAATATGATGAAGGTTTTCAGAGAGTGATGCCAATAATACAGTAAATTCTTGACTCTTTGGAATTCTAAACTAAGAGACAAGTACTCATTTTTATTTCACTGTGTTTTTCAAAATAACATGCAAAAATACTTATCTTTCTGTGAAATTTGGTTTCCTGTTAGAGTTCATTTTAGATGGCTGCTTTTGGATATCAGTATCTCCTGTATTTGCTAATTTTCCATGTTACTTCATTTTTTAAAATTTTTTAACGTTTGTTTATTTTTGTGCACACAAGAGAGAGAAAGCATGAGCAGGGGAGGGGCAGAGAGAGAGGGAGACACAGAATCCGAAGCAGGCTCCAGGCTCTGAGCTGTCAGCACAGAGCCTGACACGGGGCTCGAACTCATGAGCCGTGAGATCATGACCTGAGCTGAAGATGGGCGCTTAACCGACTGAGCCACCCAGGTGCCCCTTTTCCATCTTATTTCAAAAAGAATCTAAGATATCTAACATTCTTCATTGATTATCAATATATTTTAAGTTCTTTCCCACCAAAGGGATCCATTTCCTAATACCTCTCTCATGATCCTCATCTTTAAAATCTATTTTGCCTACTAATTTGCATTTTTAATTGGTAAATTTCCCACATTAAATAAGACAGTGTGTGTGTGTGTGTATATATATATGTATATATAAGTTATTTTAGAAATTATATATTTAAATTATATGTATAAATTTTGTACGTGTTTTATATACGGCTATCAGTCATGGACGTGACAATTTTATGTGTTTTTTATATATAAATATGTGTGTATTTAACAGTTTTATATACTCACATCTGATTAGCACTACACATAGTTGCTATGATCATAGCTAAAAGTCGAGGTGTGGGGGCACCTGGCTGGCTCAGTCTGTGGAGCATGTGACTCTTATTCTCAGGGTTGTGAGTGCAAGTCCCACATTGGGCACAGAGGCATGGAGGCTGGGGAAGGGAAGGGCTTCCGGGATGGGTGGGTATCCAGGGATTGGTCAAGACATGGGAGCCAAGCTGTGAGGAGGGGGAGACTCCAGGAGGAGTGACTGACCTACTGAGTAATGAGTCTCAGTCTTTGCAGATCTAGGGAGCACATTCTGAATTTACGTTCCCTGGTTTGGGAGTCCATTCAGGCCAGAGTTTTGGTGAGAACAGGGAAGGGAAGAGGGACTATGGGAAACATGCTGTACTTTATTTTATTTTATTTTATTTTATTTTATTTTATTTTATTTTTAATGTTTATTATTTTTGAGAGAGAGACAGAGTGCGAGTGGGGTAGGGGCAGAGAGAGAGGGAGACACAGAATCTGAAACAGGCTCCGGGCTCTGAGCTGTCAGCACAGAGCCCGATGCGGGGCACGAACTCCCAGACCGCGAGATCATGACTGGAGCCGAAGCTGGACGCTCAACCGATGAGCCCCCCAGGCTCACTGGGAAACGTGCCATATTTAAATAGACGGGGAACAGAAGGTGAGGAGTAACAACTAATGCTTATTTTTTGTCTCCCTTCACATTCTCAGGGGAGACTGAACGTATGAATTTATGCAAAGTTGTTTTCCTTCATCTTTCTCTTCTGTCCAGATCTGCTTTCTCTCTTCTGACATCAGTGAGCTGGGCGGTATCGTGCATGGTGGTGATGATGACAGGTTGACTAGTAGGGCCAGACCAAGTGTGAAATCGTTCACACCACTGCTCTGTTTCCAGGAGCCACGGTGAGAAGACAGTAAGTACAGTTTAAAATGTTTAGTTAGGGGCCCCTGGCCGGCTCAGTCAGTGGAGTGCGGGACCCTTGATCTTGGGGTTGTGCATTCGAGCCCTGCGTTGGATGTAGAGATTACTTTATTTTTAAGTAATATTGACACCTGTAAGATCACTTAGAGAATAGAAAGGATAAAACGAAAATCACCTAATAATTCCACCTTCCCTCGGGCACCTGGGTGGCTCCAGTTGATTGAGCATCCGACTTCGGCTCAGATCATGATCTCGTGGTTCGTGAGTTTGAGTCCTGCATCGGGCTATGTGCTGACAGCTCGGAGCCTGGAGCCTGCTTTGGATTCTGTGTCTCCCTCTCTCTCTGCCCCTCCCAGCTCGTTCTCTGATTCTGTCTCTGCCTCTGTCTCTATCTCTCTCTCTCTGTCTCTGTCTCTGTCTCTCTCTTCTCTCTCTCTCAAAAATAAACGTTTAAAAAAATCATTAATTCCACCTTCCCTAAACTACAATCCATGTTATCATCTTGGTGTATTTTCTTTTTTTTTTTTTTTGTATGCCTTTTGCTTCTTTTTAAAATTTTGTATCTTTTTCTTTCGCTTATTCTATCAAAAACATACTTTCATGTTGCAATATGGTCAGAGGGCTCCTAATGTCATGGCTGAAAAAAATCATAGTTTCCTTATGTTATTAGTAGACATTTAGATGGCTTGGATTTTTTGGTTCTGTCTCTTTAAGGTATTATTTTGTTTAAAATTTTTCTTCTTAATGTTTATTTATTTTTGAGAGAGAAGGAGAGAGTGAGCAGGGGAGGGCCAGAGAGAGAGGGAGACACAGAATGTGAAGCGGCCTCCAGGCTCTGAGCTGTCGGCACAGAGCCTGACGCGGGCAGGGCTCAAACCCACAAACCGTGAGATGGTGACCTGAGTTAAAGTCGGACGCTTAACCGACTGAGTCACCCAGGCGCCCCTTAAGATACTGATTTTATGGGCTTTTAAGGAGTATTGTTTATTATGAAGTGGGAGAAAAAAGTGATTTTATTACCCATTCTAAACGAGCACTAACTGAAGAAGATGCCGTGTTAGGCACGGAGAGTAAAAGGCTCCCAGGACAGGCCCACCTGTTCTCTGCTCGTCGCGCCAGTAATGCCAGACCGGTGTGAGACTGGCCCCAGCTAATCCACGACAGCGTCAGGGACCAGAGCTCTGCAAACCAGAGGCTGGTCACAGCATCGCACCTGTGAGGCCGGCAAGCCACTGGTGTCCCTCCCACGAGCACACCTGTACAGCTGGAGGTCAGGCAATCCCTGCACATGCCCCTGAAGTTCATATTTCCCCAGCTTCCAGAGAAGAGTAAGTTGTGGGGGGGGAAGGAACCATGTGGGGTGTCGACTAGCTTGATGTGATCATTTTGCAGTGTAGACGCATATCACAACACCGAGTTGTGTGCCTGCATGTATGGAAATGATTTTTGTCACGTAGCCCTCAATAAAGAAAACAAATGAGCTTTACGCTTTGTTTCGAAGAGACTGCATGCTCTCTTGCTTAACAAGCCGTCAGCTCGGCTTTTCGTTCCGTGGCTTCTCCCTTTCAACAGCGGTATCAAGGATGAAAAGAAAAAAAGTATTCCTTTCCCTCAAGGGCACATGACCTACACACGAAAGCCGTTACCGTGGCGTTGCCACGGGAGACGCGCCAACAGGAACCACATGAGTGCAGGGGGCCCTGGAGGAAGAGTGGCCGGGCTGCCCACACCTGCCCACACCCTCCCAGCAGCAGCCACAGGAAATATTCATCGTGTCTCATTCTGCCTTCTCCTTGCGGGATCCAGCGAGGTAATACGTGTAAACTAACGAGAGACGCGCCGGGGACACAGGGAGCGTTCTCCGCACAGCAGCCCCGGGTCACGTCTCAGCTGGCGCGGAGTGTCATCTCCCATGCGGCACTGTGGTTCGGCCAGGTTCCCGGGGGATCAGGCAGCACAGACAGACAGAAGCTGGCTGTGCGCATCCGAGCTGCGAGGCCGCCCAGCCGCTCCAAGTTCACTTCCTTCTCATTTCAAGGTCGAATGGACTTGCAGAATTTGTCACCGTCTGCACACCGCCACTTCCCCAGGCACCAAGGCCGGGCTCTGAGCTGATCCCAGACCCTTTCCTGTACCTTGTACCTCACGTCCCTCCTTCGTTCAGCTGGTGTTTATTACAGCTGCCATCAGTCCCGGCCGCCGCTGGCCGGTGCGGGACCAGGGACCAGCGATCAGTCCCGGCCGCCGCTGGCCGGTGCGGGACCAGGGACCGGC